TTGAGTGTTTGTTATTGTATAATAATTAATAAGTTATCAATTTCTATTTAATTTTTTTAATTTATAGAATAATGCAACTAGACAATATTGATTATTTAAACGTATACACGCTGTAACTTGCGCCAGTTAAAATACGATTGGAAATTGATATAATTTGTTTATCAATAAAAGTTACGAAAATATTGTAAATTACACCATAAAAATTAAACGCGTTACAAAGTTATCAAATTATGATTATTTATTATCCTGCAAGGAAAGAAAAATAGCTATTTTTAAATAAACCCATCACGTGACGCCGTCGCTACTTTTAGATTGATAAACACACTTGGCGTAAAGAAAACAAGGTAGGCCGTTTGAAATACTACTCACTTTTGACATGGATGGCAAGCGTCTTACTTAATGGTACTTATTTTTTAGTGTTTTCAGTACCAACCATCTTCTCTATTATGATACATATTAACCATATATCAATAATTGTTGTCAAAATGCAACATACCTCGTTGTCTGTGATTTCCCGTGGACATGTGTTTCTATATATAGGCCTACTGTTTACGCACTTCCTTTATCAATATTCATGAAAAGACTGAATTCTGAATTCCTAGATATTGTTTAATTGTTTTGTTATTACAATGACATCTATAGTACAATTTTGTGGAAAGTATTATTTTTCATTACACTTCATGTGTTTTAAATCATTTATCATTTTGTTTCACACAAAATTCGGTGTCCATATAGCGTATATGACTTTAATTGAGAGCACACAATGAATACACAGTCATCATTAAACTATAAAATGATATTTTGTCTTGAAAGATTTGTGACAGTTGAAGTGGCAGAGAGACCACAAGTGAAGAAGGAGCAGTGGGTGGAGGCTGGGAACTCGTATGGAAAATGGCATAAACTGAGGAGTATTCTCTTGGTAGGTGAAAGTCTGCATGAATTGTGTCTTACTTGTTTGATGTTATATAATAACGAAGCTCTATACACAAAAAAGATTGTATGATATGCATTCTTTGTACATTGAGAAGATTATATCATAAGAGACATTCATATTGACTTTATGCAGATCTAGATATTTTTTACATCCAATGGATTACACTTGTAATATTATTATTATTAGCTCTAGTCCAAGGAAAAAATTCAAGTAATGAATGGAAAGAGAAACCTGAGTTTCGAAAATTGTTTACTTTATTACATAAAAATACATGTATAGATATGTATAATGTGTTCAATGAAAAGTACATACTGTATTTTGGTCTTTTGTAATGTAAAAAAAACCATTTTAATCCATTGCAAATGGTGTGGTGGAGTAAACTGTAGATTTTCCTACCTTAATTTTATATATACTTCCAAAACTTAATTATACCGTGTTTGCACTTTTATAAAACAATCATTAGAATTGAAATAAAAGGTTCGGTGTAACATTTAGGGAATAAATTTCTATATGGATATTGTATATATAATTCATTGTTCTCATTGATTTTGTTTCATTTTATTGTTGACCCATATGTGTATGCAATAAAGATTATTATTAATTGTAATTTTTACTCTATTATGTGACATCAATCTACATAAAACTTCCATACAATTAGATCTCCTTATTCGTGTACATAATTTCCTACAACTGTTGTACTAGGTATTAAAAATTTATCTTTGTGGAGATTCTGCTGGGCTATAATTGTGCAGTGTATTGTATTGCTGTTTTTCATGCTATATGTGAACTTTTGTTATCTATTGAGGGGCAAGAATTAAAATAAAGCAAGGTTCATTGAACATACATATAAAATTTCAGACATATTGTACCGGCAAATAAGTAGTAAGTATAAGAAATACCTGTAACTATTATGTACAAACTTGTATATATAATTGGAGATCCTACATTTTTCATTATTTAATGGTTTTGAGAGAATGAAAAATGTTGGAGGAGGATGCTTTTGTCAAATTGTCATCACCAGATCGAGAGAAAAAAAAAGGGAAAGCTAAAAAAGATTTGTGGGGGTATTATGAGTATTTCTGAACTGAAAATTCCTCCTGGATCTGCCACAAAAATTATTCCACTAAACAATGTCTTATTTGGATCTTATGTTATTAAAGTGTACTTGGCATGTTTTTGTTATACTTACACTGTAATCATGGTAATAAGATAAGGTCAATTTTTCAGATTATTCTCATATTTATGACAAATATTTATGTTTGTTTCCATTGTATATGCACTTGCAAGGCCATATCATTTCTGTGCTTATACTTGGCTGATTAGTCAGCTCGCGGAGTTACTGCATAGTACATAATGACATAAAATCTTAACAATTAAGTGAGCAACTTAATAGAAAATTTAGCAGCTGCTGATTGGATGTAAAAGCGGGGTTAGGTTCTAAATAATTTTAATACATGTAATAATAAACACAAGATTATCTCTGTATTAAAAATGACACTCTCTATATTAATGGATTTATTAATCTCACTTTTAAAATGTAGTAAAGGTAGTAAACTCCTATTCCTAGCATGAAAACCTTTTTTGTGGGGGATGGGGGTGGAGTGGGGTTAGCTATTAACTTCCAAATCTTCATACTTATGACTGTTCAGACAAATTTACAAACTTATCAGTTATCACGGATCCGAGTTTTCTAGGAGGGTCCATGTTTTCTAGTGGGGGGGGGGGGGTCCAAGGTCCCCTTCCCCTCTAGATCTGAGCATGATAATTATGATCATATACATTTTGAAAAGCAACTGGTTAGCAGGAGTGGGGCCTTTTTTCTTGGTTTCTATTTCGACCTTGAGAATGTATTTATGCTTATAAAGAGCTATTCTAATGAGAGTTGAATTGGTGCTCATAATAAACTTCTGTATATGTAGCTACACTAGAATTGATTTCCATATCTTTCAATTACAGATTCAATTTCTATAATGAAGACTGAAAAGCCAGCAGTCAATTTAATCAATAATATGAACTTATATGTATCATGAAGTGTATATACCACTCCTGTCATCAGCAAATTGGAATGCTTCATTTGATATTCTGCACATGCAGATTTATCATGACGTATCTAAAAATTTGTTTATTTAGTCAACATCATTTGAAATGATCTAAGAAATTTTAGCACACTTTTTTCACTGATATAAGTAAATGCACTTTAATTCTTATATACGTTAAGTAGTAGATTATGAATCAATAAATGAATGCATATATAATTTTATCTAGGTCATAGGACACTGTAATGGGATTAATCATCTCAGCAGGGATCACTCTGGATTTTAATGTTGATGGGTCGATAGCCCCCCCGGGAAAAATTGATATTTCATGCTATTTTGTGATGAATTTCAAGTAAATTTGATGGGTCTTTGAGGGTTTTTAAATGCCATTTCTGACACAACCAATTTCAGTTTTTTAAAATAAAATGAATAATATTATAAATATAAAAGAAAGTTTTTTTCTTTAAATTTCATCTCAGTACTGAAAAATGTCATTGGAGAATTGTTTTAGACTTGAGTTCATACAATAGAGTATTAAAAAAAATGATAAACAGAATACCTAAGTTAATTCCTCGCCCCTTTGATTTTTTTGATTTAGTTCTCGAAAGTTGTTGAAGAGCTAAACTATAAAGGATGCAAACTTACATGCACATTTCTCTACTGAATAGACCTGGGGTAGTTGCAGATTAAATTTGGTTCAAATGGTAGGGACTGGTTTTGTATGCAAAGAACTCGGAGCAAAAAACTTAAATGAGAAACTTTTTATTTGTTTGGAAAACATTTTAGTCCCATCTGATCAAATTCCAACCACGGGTGCAAAGTTGGCCACTTGGACTGGAAATGACGAACATCGTTGCCGTGAACGTTGACATCAGGAGTCAACGTCTTGGACTGTCCTTCTTAATCAGAGACCTCTGCCGAGTCTGAGAATGAAAAAGTTTCCGTCGTTTTATTTGTAAAACAAACGAAAGCTTTCGTTGTTCGCTTTGGAGGCATTTCGGGCAAGTGTCTGGATACACAATGAGTAACTTGAACTTGTTTTGTTTCGAAATAAATAATCAAAGTTTTAAGAAATATTAGAACATATTACATAGTGGAGTATTACTTTCAAGTGTTTATTATTTAAATCATTACATATAATTTTAATAAATATAATTGACTCAGTATTCGGTAAAAAAAATTCTAGTAGCGTAATCTAAACGAAGGAAATATTCCATGTACAATTCCGATTTTAGTCTTGATCAATCAGACGCTCTGCTGGTGTAAAGAACATACGCGGCTATAAAGAGTCTGATTGAACGAGTAACAGTATGCTCAGATACGTCATGAATACAATCGGTCAGCTTGAAAACAGTCCTAAAATGCACCAATATAAGAGTTTCGACCCACAGTTTTGCATCTTATAGCGCCATATCTGTAAGACATGCGCCAGACTGACCCCTTTCTAATTTTTTAGTGCGCCATTTACAAATATTGAGCGCCAGTGGCGCAAAGGCGCAGCCCAAAGTGATCCCTGTCTCAGTGTATTGATAATAGTGCATTTACCTGTAAATTGATAAACGATCCTCAAATTAAACATATCATTAATGAGTTTGATACAATTCAATTATCAAAGTTAACAAGTATGAATGACATAAATTCACAAGGATAAACTAATTCAGGAGCAACACCAGAAAATCAAAAGGTGTCTTGGGGTAGGGGTCAGGGCGGGAGTTAGAAATATACATCCTATTGTTGTGCATCCGTATAACTCATCATATGCTGGTCAATTAAATAGGTGACAAGCTTGATATTTATTATCATCAAGACTCAAACTTAAGTTAAGAAAAGTAATGCTATAAAACATGCGATTTATTATTTTGAAATTGTTCATTACCATTCTCTGCGCTTGTAGTTTTTTGATAATCATGATAAATTGATAAGTTAGGCACCCCCCCCCCCCACCTTGTTATTATAAATTACATGTAGTTGTTTATTTACATTAAGTGTAATACATGACCTGTTTTATTTACATTAAGTTGTTTATTTCAAGACAATGTAAGACACATCAGCTGTGTACTGGGTGGTGGATTTTATACTTTGACCAGCAGCCTCTCCTTTGGACAGCTGTTTGACCTAATTAGTACTGACACTCGCGGAGTACGGTACTTTGACTAAAAGTGTTTTAGTACTACGGTAGTTTTTATCAAGTGACAACGGTACACAACCTGAGTTAGATAAAGAGATGATCTTTTTGGTCTCTTCTTTTGTGATGTGCTAAAGGATTAGTAGATAAGACACAGTTTAGGGATGATAAACATTTAGAGGTGTAAAATTGTTGTCTTTGTGACTGAGTTTGGTATGTACTATAATTAACTATGGGGGATATGGTTCAGATATCCATACAGAGCTCTCTGCAGGGTTCTGTGCAGTATAAACAACTGGAAGAACTTGAAGAAGAACTTTCGAATGATAAAACTGTCACAAATAACAAAAAGGTAAGTTTATACTGATCAAGTACATTGTAGAAGCAATGGAAATAGTTTTCTGTTAGCTATGATAAATGCTAGGTAAATCATGAAGTGGGACCCATATGACTGTAAATGAAAGTTTATTGATTACTTTAATGCAAAACAATTTTAACTTACTGTATTATTTGATTAAAAAGATACAATTTGGCTATGCAATTACATTATTGGATATTACATTAGTATTTGCATTGCTGTGCAAAACTATTGGCTTTATCTGCATGCAAAACTATGCTCCTGCAGCTAAAATGAATTAGTCATCAGTCATTTTTGTCAAAATTAATTCTGCAAAACATATATCTGTTGGTAATACATGTAAATAAATAACAGAGTTGTAAATCTTTTTCTGCTGTTCTGTAAAATGTGTGGCAAAAGAAGGAAAAGGCTTGTGAGAATAACAGATACATACTTATGGTATCTTTCAGACAATTTAATGGAAGCAAATTTAAAGTTGGGGAGGGGTGCCAACTGAAAGTGGAGGGTGGGTTAAACTAACAAAAAATTATGTTTTGGATCATAGCCCCAATTTTTAATTCCAATATTAAGTCTATCTTAGCAAATAAAGAGCAGGGTTAAGCTCCCCCCCTCTGATGCCTATGTCAATTTATAATGTGATTTACAAGTGTGCTAATTGATCTAGAAACATTGAATAAACAATATATACCAAGCTCAATGGTTAAATGTCAATGTCTGCTGATGACAAGTAAACCATTGAGTGTAATTCAATACTCATTTCATTTGTCACTGAGTCTAGCCAATATACTCATTGGTCTAAGGGAGACAATAACTCGGTGTAGTACAGTATTTATTTTCTGTTGTAGGAGTGGAAGAAGTCACGGATTATTGAGAAGTGTGTGTACGTGTTGGCGGTGATCACCATTATATTTCTGACACATGCCACAGTGTACGCCCAGTGGTTGTTACCCTACTATTATGCTGTTAGTACCCCCCTATTGATCCTGATTAGGGTCGTCATGTACTGGTAAGATGAGTCCAGATAATTGAGTTAATTAATTAGTATACAGTTAGGTTATTACCATACTAGTTGTTACATGTAGTACCCTCTACTTATCCTTATCAGGGTCCTCATGTACTGGTAAGTAGAGTCCAGATAATTGATCAACCAATTAATAAAGTACATTTCCTCACAATGCCAGGGGTCCTGTGCAAATCTGTTGCCATGGGACCCCTGACAAACTTCATCTTTGTTTTTTTTGGGGGGGAGGGGGAGGGGTTTCTCATTAGGACACACACCAGTTGTACAATATAGATAAAAATAAGACCTCCCACAAAAAAGAGAATATTTAAATGGTCAGAAAGTTGTTAAAAATGAAATATCCTGATACCCCCATATTATTGATTATGAGTTGCAATAAAATTTTTGTTGAAATGTCTTTCACTAGTGGAATTTGATCGATGGCTCAAAAATGTAATTCCAAGTTCTCTCTATTTTTCAGCAAGAACAAATGGCAGTATTTTCTTCTGGACTTCTGTTACTATGCCAACATTTTGTGGTACATTTTCATCTGGTAAGTAACACAAATCTGACTCGACATCACTTTTGACCCTCCAAAAATGGATGGTCACTTATGCTCTAGGAGAGGGTAAAGTTAGGCAGCATGGTTGCCCTCCAGTCTTATATTCATTTGTATTAAACTTCAATTATACTTGACCCTGTAGGATCCCGGGGAGTGGGGAGATGTTTGCGGTCGTCTTCGCCCTGTCGAATGGACCGCTGATTTGGGCCATGGTGGTGTACAGGAACTCTCTAGTATTCCACAGTACGGACAAAGTTACCTCAGCCTACATACACATCCTGCCGGCTCTGCTATCATTTGGGTTTGTATTCATTTCATTTGTAAACTATCATATTTGATTTGTTAGCTCACCTGAGCCGAAGGCTCAAGTGAGCTTTTCTGATCACATTTTGTCCGGCGTCCGTCTGTCTGTCTGTAAACTTTTCACATTTTCGACTTCTTCTCAAGAACCGCTGGGCCAATTTCAACCAAACTTGCCACAAAGTTTCCTTGGGTGAAGGGGATTCAAGTTTGCTCAAATGAAGGGCCACATCCTCATTCAAGGGGAGATAATTGGGAATTAATGAAAATTTAGTGGCATATTTTAAAAATCTTCTTCTCAAGAACCACTGTGCCAGGAAAGATGAAACTTATGGGGAAACATCGTCAGGTAGTGTAGATTCAAGTTTGTTCAAATCATGACCCCCGGGGGTAGGGCGGGGCCAAAATGGCCAACCAAAGTTTTACATAGAAATATATAGGAAAATTCTTTAAAAATCTTCTACTCAAGAATGACAAAGCCATAATTCATCATATTTATATGGGAGCATGCTCAGGTAGTGTAGATTCAAATTTGTTCAAATCATGACCCCCCGGGGTAGGGCGGGGCCAAAATGGCCGACCAAAGTTTTGCATAAAAATATATTGGAAAAATCTTTAAAAATCTTCTTCCCAAGAATGACAAAGCCATAATTCATCATATTTATATGGAAGCATGCTCAGGTAGTGTAGATTCAAGTTTGTTCAAATCATGACCCCCGGGGGTAGGGCGGGGCAAAAATGGCCGACCAAAGTTTTACATAGAAATATATAGGAAAATTCTTTAAAAATCTTCTTCTCAAGAATGACAAAGCCATAATTCATCATATTTATATGGAAGCATGTTCAGGTAGTGTAGATTCAAGTTTGTTCAAATCATGACCCCCCGGGATAGGGCGGGGCCAAAATGGCCGACCAAACTTTTACATAGAAATATATCGGAAAATTCTTTAAAAATCTTCTTCTAAAGAATGACAAAGCCATAAATCATCATATTTATATGGAAGCATGTTCAGGTAGTGTAGTTTCAAGTTTGTTCAAATCATGACCCCCGGGGGTAGAGCGGGGCCAAAATGGCCGACCAAAGTTTTACATAGAAATATATCGGAAAATTCTTTAAAAATCTTCTTCTCAAGAATGACAAAGCCATAAGTCATCATATTTATATGGAAGCATGTTCAGGTAGTGTAGTTTCAAGTTTGTTCAAATCATGACATCCCGGGGTAGGGCGGGGCCAAAATGGCCGACCAAAGTTTTACATAGAAATATATAGGAAAATTCTTTAAAATCTTCTTCTCAAGAATGACAAAGCCATAATTCATCATATTTATATGGAAACATCCTCAGGTAGTGTAGATTCAAGTTTGTTCAAATCATGACCCCTGGGAGTAGGGCGGGGCCAAAATGGCCGACCAAAGTTTTTAAAGATGTATATAGAAAAATTCTTTAAAAATCATTTTCTTAAAAATAGCAAATCCATGATTGATCATGGGGCTACTTTTGGATTTAAACTTTACAATAAAAAGCCATTTTCTACTTTTTCCTACCCTTAGTGCTCAGGTGAGCGACGTGGCCCATGGGCCTCTTGTTGTTTATATCTATAGCATACTTGTGAGAAAAATATAACAATGTGGTTGCGAAAACATAGTTATAGCAAACACTTACAATGAATTTACGTTAAAACATGTTGCAAAGTGATTTTCATTCCCTGTAGTTTTAAAACACATCATGAACTTAATAAGAACATGAAATAAGGATCTTCATTGATAACAAATCCTTATTATTCACCCCTGGCACTTTAAAGTGATCTCTACATTTATTTATACAGGATTCGGTGGTATAGAGAGGAAGTCTCCCAGTACTGGTTCCAGGAGTTTGTCCCTGAAATGCCGGAGATGTCTCCGGTCTGGTTACTGCTGGTGCCCTTTGCCTGCTTCTTCATTCACAGTGTATGTAACTATACTTAATGATTATTACTGTTCATATGTTAGTGTACCAAACTTTACACATGTAGTAAGGTTTGTATCATGTTTTTGACTTAAAAAAGGTTTGTTTTAAGGAGAGGATAATTCAAAAGTTAGTATATCATTTTCCCTTTAAGTTATTTTTATCTTCCACAATGATTTAATCTCAACCCCTATCTCCAACCTTAGGGGGACCAAGACCAAAACTTCTAGATTCATATCTGAGGGTTTAAAATATTGACAGAGGGTAAAACTTAACGAAAAAGTGCTTTGGACTTTCAAATAACTTTGACATATTTATAATTCTACCACGATTATTGCCAACTTCAAAGAAAAGCCATGGACATTATTTTCCAATAAATCACGAACGTCTTCAAAAAATTATCAGATCAGAAACACGTATCAAACCTGAACAATTCAAATGCATGTTTGGCTGTAGAATGAAATACTTATTTAGACCACATCAATGTGTCGTTTTTTGCAGTATAAACACTGTAAATTGCATCAAGTTGCTGCTGAATGTCAGTTTTTATAGCAAAGTGGGGCTATTCTATGGACCTCCCTACACATTTAAACAACGTGATTTTAGTCCCAATAAACCAGTAAAACAGGAACATGATTTTGTTATTGTATAATCATTAAAATTAATCAATACATGTTATGAACAAATTTGTAATTTAAAAAGACTTTTTTTAATGCAACGAAAGCTCAAATCGTTTGCATTCCATATACATGTATTATGATATACAGGTAAGCCAACAAAATTACCCTTCGGTGTTAAATAGAACAGCGCAATCGAGACATGGTGACCTTATTCATTTCTTTATAGAGGAAACGATCAGCTGTATTTATCGATCTTGGTAGAATAGAAATAAAGTCCTTGTTGTCGTGAATGATGCAGGATAACCTCCTTGGTCTCGAAATATTGTTTGAAATATAAAAGCCTCGGATAACGCCTCGGCTTTTATCTTTCAAACAACATTTCTTAACCTTGGTGGTTATCCTGCAACATTCACGAAAACGCGGACTCTGTATCTTAAATATTCAAGATATCCATGTCTCGAGATATTGGACATATCCATAAATAGTAAAGATATCCATCTCAAGATATTGGACATATCCATAAATAGTAAAGATATCCATCTCAAGATATTGGACATATCCATAAATAGTAAAGATATCCATCTCAAGATACTGAAGTTCTCATTGACAGCTGTAGTTATAGTATACAATGTTCTCTGATTTCAGGTTCTTTCATTTTCTGTGCATAGTTATAAAATGACTATCTATTTATATTAACAGGGAATATATTTTCTGGTTATACATATCGTGGCTAAGCCTAGTGAGGAGTATGTCACGAGTTTTAATTACCTGGGAAAGAAGCAGGAGAGCTGCCTATATAAAACATTCAATATCTGTGGCGACAGGTAATGTTTATTCTATAATAGCAAAAGAAAAATTTAAAGAAAGAAAGAGAAAATAATACCTCTTACTTGTCACATATCTGCGGTGATTTTCTTTGATCTTTCTGTGGTGATATATCCCATATCACATATGCGATAATACTTTCCACATCCCTTCATATATCACTGCAGGAGGCAGAAATCAGGTCATGAGAAAAGAACTGATTTTATTTCACAAGTTTATAACTACAGAAAAATGAACATGTTAAGCTATTTCTTAGCCTTTAACTAAATTAAAATACATGTATTTAACTCAGTTGAATGTTCCCAGTCGTTCAAAAGATCAATCCATTTTGAGCTTTTGAAAGTTACAGTAAAATCTCCAAACTTTATATCATTAAACTACTTGATATTTGCTTTTGTGATTTCGTATTTGTAGAGTGCCTGGCTCAAAGATAAATTGTCAAAATCTTCAAACTCAGTTAAAAAGTCAAAGACAAATTCACTAAGAACGTCCGACATGTTGGAGAGCTAGCTTGAAATGAATCTTAAGTTCATGACAGGCTGAATATTTTTTTTATTGAATTTTGACACTCTCTTTGAGATTTACGTCATCAGACATGCGACAAGTTGCTTACATCATAGATGCCTCGTACTATTGGTTATATCGTTTTCATGGGGCATGGAAATCTCGGGCGCTCTGCGCCCTCGATTTCCACGCCCCATGAAAACGATATAATCAATACTACTCGGCTTCTGTGATGTAACCTATACATATTTTACACTTCATGTTGAAATTTTATGTACTGTAAAATTGCACATTTTCAAGGGGTCATACTCAAATTTTAATGGTTTGAGGAAAATATATTGGTTCGTGGGGATTGATTTCGTGGTTGAAAAATTGTTCAGTCATAATATATGTGAAAAATTTGTGGTGGATATAAATTTGTGGGTCTCTTCATACTTTGGAAACCACGAAAATTAACACCCCCTCCCCCCACGAAAATTACTGATTTCACAGAATGCAAATTTATATAGAAAGATTTCTATAATTTAAAAGTGATTTGAAATTATAACTGGCATTTCAATTGATGAACCAAGGTGTTCCAGAATTGATTAAATGACTTATGTCTTTTTCCTTGTGTTTTAGGTGCCGCCCCTTCATGTTTTACTTCTTTAACTGGTTGTTTTGTATAGTCAGTCTCGCTGGCGTCTTCGTCTGGTATAACTTTTACGTGGCCCACTGTATATTTCTTGGTGTCATGTCCGCTGTGCTGATCATGAATGGGGGGAATTATTACATCGATGTGTTCAGTAAACGAGGATTTGTGGAGGGCGAATGTGAATAAAAGTATTACTTACTTTTGGTACCATTGTTATTATATACCAGGGTAATTTGTGAATGTATCGTTAGTGAATTTTTTGTAGTATATGTACATAAAAAACAAATGTCATCTTTCATACCATTATTTATTTATTAAAGCATCATCATTATTCATCATCAATCTTTAATGATATTCAGTTACCTTGATATATCATGTTACGAAGGTTATTCCTTATAAATCTCTGTGAGATTACACCGGGTACTAATTGATGTATTTTTCACAGATTATTTTGCCATATTGTTACTTGTTAAACACTTTGCTGCTCCCTGCATTTGTATTTTTGGTTGTTTTGTAATTAACATATATGTAAAGATACAATTTTTTATCTTAAGTTGGTTGATGACTTTCAAGCTTTGTAAGATACTTTACTTTTTGTTGTTGATTTTAGTAAAGTAAACCATGCTTTGTAATGAACTCACTTTAATAACAAATCCCTGCTTACAGCAAAGTTATTTTTATTCCCTAAGGTTTTAAAACATATTGTGAAATACCGGATATAATAAACAACTTTTTACTGTTGTACTGTAACTTTAACTTCTTTGTCGAGATCAGGGTAGAAATCATATGATTTTGGAATAATTACATTATTGCCTGTAATTATAAATATGTTATTTTAGCTGTCTGTAGACTAGTTGGTCTTTTAATTAAAACTTGTACCTCTAAATATCTTGAAGTTTCTAAGTCAATAAAACAGTGCAATACATTTTCATATTAACAAAAACTGAGATTTTTAATTTATTTACTTTAATGTTTTTTACAAAGTTCTCACAGACAGTATTAGATTGTAATGTACTGTACAGTTTACATTGTAATTATTGTTTTTAGCCTTTACCACAGCTAGGTCTGTGAATGATTTGCATTCCAAAGAGTAACATTTTAATTTATTGAGTCACGCTTGCCAAATATTATAAATGACTTCCCAGTTTTACTTTTTAGGTCACCTGAGTAAACTCAGGTGACCTAATGCTATCCGTTTTCATCCGTCGTCGTGCGTTAACTTTTGAACATTTTCAGCTTCTTCTCTGCAACCACTGAACCAATTTCAACCAAATTTGGCATAAAGCATCTATGGGTGAAGGGGAACAAAAATTGTGAATTTCATGATCCCTGCTCCCCTGGGGCCTGAGGGATGGGGCCAAAACCACTAAAATGAATGCAATCTTTAAAAATCTTCTTCTTTACTCCTGGACATCAAGCAGGCAAACTGTTTGCATGATTGTAATCAGCAAGGGTGTCTCTACCAAAATTGTGAAATTTATGGCCCTGGGGTCAGGGGTTCTGGTGTTAGGGCGGGGCTAAATAAGTATATAGTGAAAATGCATTATTTCTTTGATAATCTTCTTCTCTGCTCCTGGGTATGAAATAAACCAACTAAGTACATAGTTATGATGAGCAAGAGTGCCTCTACCCAAATTGTGAATTTTATGGCCCCAGGGTCAGGGGTTCTGATGTTAGGGCAGGGCTTTATTGATTATATAGTGAAAATGCATGAATTCTTTGAAAATCTTCTTCTCTGCTCCTGGGTATTAAATAAACTAACCAAGTGCATAGTTATGATAAGCAAGGGTGCCTCTGCTAAAATTTTGAATTTTATGGCCCCAGAGTCAGGGATTATGGTGTTAGGGTGGGGCTCTATTGATTATATAGGGAAAATACATGAGTTCTTTGAAAATCTTTTTCTCTGCTCCTAGATATTAAATAAACTAACTAAGTGCATAGTGATGATGAGTAAGAGAGCCTCTACCAAAATTGTGAATTTTATGGCCCCAGGGTCAGGGGTTTTGGTGTTAGGGTGGGGCTCTGTTGATTATTTTCTAGTGAAAAACATGAATTCTTTGGAAATTTTCTTCTCTGCTCCTAGGTATTAAATAAACTAAGTACATAGTTATGATGAGCAAGAATGCCTGTTCCAAATTTGTGAATTTTGGATCAGGGTCAGGGGTTCTGGTGTTAGGGCGGGGCTCTATTGATTGTATAGTGAAAATATTAAATCTTTGAAAATTTTCTTCTCTGCTCCTGGGTATTAAGCAGATGAACTACCTATATAGTTATGATGAGCAAGGGCCCTAATCTTCCAGAATTGTGAATTTCAAGGCCCCAGGGTCAGGGGTACCGTAGAGGGAGGGGAGGGAGCTGTACTTGTATACTGAAAATGAATGAATTGCTTGAAATCTGCTCCTTGGTATTAATCAAATATTTTTGAAAAGCAAGGATGCCTTTTCAAGAATTGTGCAATGTGTGGATCTAGGCCTAGGGGTCAGGGTTCATGTGTTGAAATGCATTTTTTGTTCCTCTACCCTGCCTATGGGTATTAAGTAACCAAACTAAGCAACTGTGAAGTGTATAGTTATGATGATCAATGGTGCCTTTTTCAAAATTGTGAATGCCATAGCATCTGGCTTAAAACATGAATCAAGTTCAATCACTGGAAAGTTGTTGCATAATGCTCAGGTGACCTATAATGCCCTTGGACCTCTTGTTATCATGAATATTTTAAAACTTAAATTATATTTGAAAGAAATAGATTTAGGAAATTTTTTATTTTTTGATATATGATAAATGTTTTGTCAACATTGCTTTTATTTAATGTACAAATAAATGCATTAAATTTTATAACTCAGTTTTGTTATAAAAAAATTCTGTTATACCTCTCTCTCTTTCTCTTTCTCTGTGTTTCTTTTATTTTCATATTGTGGGATCACAAAATTTTCAGGACATTGTATTTTTATGATAGATTTATTTGGTATAAAACACAATCAAATTAAAATGATACACACCTGTGACCTACGTTAAACCTTATTGGTCTGTCCATCTGTCACAAAAACTAACTTTGGTCATAATTTTTGCATGAGAAGAGATAAAACTTTCGAATTTCACATGTAAACTATGACAAGACCATTCCAAATGTGGCGGTCAGCCAGGTTCGTTTGCTGGTGGCCGGATAGCTCAGTTGGTAGAGCACCTGACCGGAGTTTAAGGGGGCACAGGTTTGAATCATGGTCTGGTCCACTGCATTTTCTCCTCTCCCGTCACACAAATATAGCATGACTTCTGTTGCTGTCACTTGACCTTGAAGTTACACATACTTTTCAAAAATGCTATCTTTCCTTATAACTTTTGATTGAAAAAAAATTAGGCTTTCATATTTGACTAGTAAATTACCTGTGACAAGATATGTTTCCAAACATGTTATGATTTTTGACACCCCTGACTATATTCTTAAAAATTTTAACTTTGGTGATTGCTTTTTAATGACATAATTTGACCTTAGCCCTTGAGTTTGACCCACTTTTACAAAAAATACCAAACTTTAACCTTCCTGGTAATATTTTTAAACTTTCAAACAGTTGGTGCTAAGGCTTTCAAACTTAACATGTGAAAGAATCTTTCACTGGTGTATATATTTTTGACCTTGACCTCAGAGTTTGACTCACTTAGAAACCTTGGTCAAAACTTTAAAAAAAATAGTTATTACTAAGGCTTTCATATTTCACAGGTGTATAATCCTTGTGAAAAGACCTTTCTCTTCATATCAAAAATTTTGACTTTGACCTTGGAGTTTGACGTATTTTTTTAACGGAATGTTTGCTTGGTCCCTAGCTCCCCCATCCTCAAGTGAGTTTTCCCCCACAGACTTTGATAAAAATATCTCCAACATGTAATCCAAATATGTTCAACTTCTTTAAAGAAAAACCGGGTCCTAGGACAATATCATTTTAACAAGAGAACGTTCAGTCTACCTAAATATACTACTCAAAATTTGATAAGGATCATTGAAATTTTCTATGTATTTAGATAATCAATAACTGTATAACTGGCAATATTTTGTCCAAATGCAAAAAAAATGTCTTCAACAAACTTGCACGTGCATTTCATGTCATGCAAATGGTTTCTTATCGCAGTTTATACTTTTGCTACAACTGCACGATTTTCACTCAGGCAGCGGTGTGATTCTTTCTAAGATTTAAAAGAACTCACCTGAGTGTTTACACTACGTTTATCAACACAATGGCCCCTCAGCGTGTAAGGCGTCGCCTGACGACAGAACAACTAGGTAGATGTATTGGAATGCTTGACGCTGGTTATTTACAACGTGATGTTGCAAATGCGCTAAACGTCAGCCAGAGCGTTGTAAACAGAGCCTGGAACCGACGGCAAACTTTTGGTACAGCAGCGCACCGACATGGGGGTGGTCGTCAGAGATCAACAACTCAACGCCAAGACCATTTTGTGGCTCTTCAGGCACGACGCCATCCCTTCTGGACAGCAACCAGCCTACGTAACGACCTCCTGAACGCCTCGGGGGTAAACGTCTCGACTCAGACGATACGGAATCGGCTTCACATTGCAGGTCTCAATTCGAGAAGGGCATGTGTTCGAATCCCTCTGACTGTGCGACACTGGCGGGAGCGATTGGACTGGGCTGAAGACCATGTCACTTGGACACAGAACGATTGGGTTCCAGTTCTGTTCACCGATGAGTCCAGGTATTGTTTGGACTTTACAGACAGGCAACGAGTGTGGCGTCGACGATGTGAACGTTTTCATGATACCCACATCAGTGAACATGACCGTTATGGCGGTGGTTCCATTATGGTCTGGGGTGGAATCAGCAGGGATGGAAGAACAGATCTTCATGTCCTGGAGAGAGGAACAATGACGGGGGTGCGGTACCCGGATGAGATCCTGGATGTTTACATTAGACCCTACGCTGGTGCTGTTGGCCCTGAGTTCATCCTGATGGATGATAACGCCCGTCCACATCGCGCCAGGGTGGTAGAGCAGTACCTTCAACAGGAGACAATTGTCCGTATGGACTGGCCAGCGCGTTCGCCGGACGTGAACCCGATTGAGCATGTATGGAACATGCTGCAAGTTGCCCTTTCACGCCGTAGAGCACAACCCACGACTTTGGCAGAGCTGGGAAACGCCCTCGTTGAAGAGTGGAACAACCTTCCCATTGGAAACATCTGGGTGCTTATTGACAGCATGGCTCGACGTTGTCAAGCCGTCATCGATGCAAGGGGAGGCCATACTCGGTATTGACACTTCATCGACTATTTGTGAAGATGGACTTTCTCCAAAAACTGTAATTTTTTCTCCGGTTTTCTGTTAACTTTTTTGTAATGAAATGCCTTTTGGTGTTGTTCTAAGATTTCAAGCATTCCTTATTGGTAAAAGTTCATGTTGTTTATAGATACCCATTCATAACTTGAGTAAACACATTTTTGAGTTAAATTTTTGTCTGTTGTTATGTTAGTGGTAAATTACACATAATTATATAACCTAGTGATCCTTATCAAATTTTGAGTAGTATATATGTACAATGAAAACAAGCAAATTCAAATTTGTCACAAGTAATACATATGTGAAGGATGAAAACCTTAACCCTAACCATTCAAAAGTTATGGCCAAGGTTAAAGTGTTCTAAAAGTAGGTCAAACTCCAAGATCAAGGTCATTATTGATATCCAATGAAGGCCCTGTCACAAGGATTAAATATGTGAAAATTGAAAGCCTTAGCCCTAACCCATCAAAGATATGGTCAAGATTTGTTTTTTAAAAGAATGTTAAACTCCACAGGTCAAGGTCAAAGGGTCAAAGTTCTTGGTATCCAGTGAAAGGTCTTCTCAAGAGAATCACATATGTGAAGTCTATTGAAAGCCCTAGCCCTTACCATTCAAAAGTTATGGCCAACGTTAAAGTTTTTTCATAAGTACAAAAATCTCCAAGGTCAAGGTCAAAAAGTCAAAGTTGTTGGTTTTCCAATGAAAGTACGTCTTGCCACATATGTGAATTATGAAAGTCCTGGTATTTACCATTCAAAAGTTATTGCCACAGTAAAAGTTTGGAATTTTTGTGTAAAAGTGGGTCAAACTCCAAGGTCAAAAGATCAAATTTGGTGGTACCCAAAGAAATTCTTAATGTCACAAAAAATACACATGAGATATGAAAGTCATAGCTCCACCTAATCAAAAGTTATGGGAAAGGTTAAAGTTTTTGTAACGGACAGACAGACTGAACGGACGGACAGACGAATGAGATTATAATGTCCCTCGCATTCGCGAAAGCTTGCACACAAACACGAATAGTACTCGTACGACTTATTCCAAAAAATTGAAGGTGAAGGTTGTTTTGTATCATTTTTCAGCAAGGAAGAATTTTATTTAATATTTAAAGAGCTTTTTAGTACGTATTTTTCTCAAATATTTGTTTTTCAATTATAAACTTAAGAAATTGTAAGTACCAATATCTTTTCTATTGCGATTTGAAATGACAAGATTGTAAATTTGGAAATTTAGGCAAACGGGGGTCTGCTATTGTGCATGTTTTTTCGTGTGGTTATTTTAGATTCAGAGCCCCGGTTTACAAAACTTACGACGAAGATCAAAAACATTTTTAAATGTAATGACTTTTATTAATAAACGAGAAAATCATTTTTTGTTCTTTTAGCTTTGAAAAATATATATAACCTTTATTTGGGTTTTTTCTTGCAGAGGGATGGCAAATTCCTACAACCAAGGTGAGATTCACCAAGTTTTGCTTTCATCATTGAAAACAATAAACAGCCAATGTTATAATTAATTTTCTTTTTGATTTTTTGAGTTTTATTTCATGTCATTGTTTTGCAGGGTTGATTGGTCCACAAATTCCCCCTGGGCATGCTAGTAGAATGGACCCCATGCACAACAATGCTCCACTACAGTTTAATACCAACAAAGGGAAACCACCCATGGCTCTAGAAGGGGACCCAGGTATGATATATGATTTTTATCAAATTTACAATACTGTCAAATGTTATGCCTTTTTCTTTTTATGAATTATCTGTTTAAAACTATAGACTTGATTGTCAACAAGGAATCCACCATCCTAAGTCAGATAATGCTCTTTATTTATTCATATGTTGATTAAGTCACTTGTCAGTGAAATATATGAATTTGTTTCTTCTTTTTTCTTTAAAAAATTTAAAAATTACGTAATAAAATTTACCAAGGTTTGTAAAGATTTGTATAGATTTAAAACACTTTTTTCTTAGATAATTTTTTTCTCAAGCAAGTCAAAAATGAGTTGGTATGATCTTTTAGACTTTTACTGGTATAATATTCTTATTTCAATTTTATAAAAGAGCCTGTGAGTAGCTCAGGGAGTGGGGAGATGATGGGGCAGGGCTTCTACAGCAGTGGGAGTGCCGGAGGGGGCGGGGGCCTCATGGGGAATATGATGCAGGGACCGATGATGGGGACAGATCCAAGCATGATGATGATGTTTAACCAGGTCTGTAAAACTCTTGAAAGTTAAGGCTAATGAGAAAACTTTGATATTTCATTCATATTGAAATATCTTAATGAAACAATCATACTTCAAATGTATATAAATAAAGGTTGAATTTTTTGTTGATAGCAATATTATTATTTATCTACCATATCATTATTAAGGTATGAACAGATTTCACATTTTATTATTTTGTGCAGTATGGTGGCTGGGGGCCAATGGGACCAAACAATCAAGACATGTTGATGCAGTTTATGCCTAAAGAAATAATCACTCTGAAGAGTTGTGTACTTTATCCACCTCCACCAAGTAAGTCTGAATGAATGGGAGAAAAAACTTCAGTATAAGAATAGAATTGAACCTATAGATATAAACTTTAATGTTTCCTATTTCAATTCCTTAGAGACCACCCTTTTGTCACTTCTCATCCTAATCATTGATGGAATATAACAAATGTACCTTCCTTTGCTTCTATTATGTTCATTAATAAAATCTAATGACTGTTAATTCTGCAGATGCCCCACCCCCTACTACCAGAGAGAGACCCCCAGGGTGTAGGACAACATTTGTAGGGGGACTACCAGAGAACGTCACAGAGGAAATCATAGCGGAAGCTTTCTCAAACTTTGGAATGATCGTCAGTATTCGGAAGGGGAAGAAGAACTTCTGTCACATCCGCTACGAGTTGGAAGAGAGTGTGGACAGAGCTTTATTTTTATCAGGTTTGGAAAATAATGCAGTAGTGTGATTCACAGGTATTGGTGAACAGGACACCCCCATCCCTCTTAACAAGCCCCACCCAGGGTTTAATATCAGGATGTTGGGGGGGGATGTACCTGTCATCTGATTTTTTTTATCAAGGTTTTCTCTTTATGGCCCTTCGAGTTTATCTGCATTTTATGGCAATGTTACAATAGAACCTCAAGATTCCAAGAATTAGAACCTCATAGATCAAAAAATGAAAAAAAGAACCTAATTCTCATGGGTTGATTTACTACATAATTTGCTGACTGTCTTCTTCTGTGTTAAGGATACAGAATGAAGATTGAGGACAAAGATGACAAACCCAACACAGGCAGACTCCATGTGGACTACGCCCAGGCCCGAGACGATCAGTATGAATTTGAATGTAAACAGAGGATGCTGGCGCGGGAGATGAGGCATCGACAGAGAATGGAGGAGGATCGACTTCGCCCCCCAAGTCCTCCCCCCACTGTACACTACAGTGACCACGAGTCATATGTCCTAATGGAGCAACTAAAATGTAAGTACTCTTCCCCCACTATACACTAAAGTGACCACAAGGCTTATGTCCTTAAATGTAAGTACTCTCCCCCCATCCTTACCCCATCTACACTTTCTCCCCCCCCCCCCCCCCCACTGTACACTACAGCGACCATGAGGCTTATGTCCTTATTGAGCAATTTTTAAAAATGTAAATATTATCTCCATCATCCCTACCCCACATTTACAGAGTTCCCCCCACTGTCCATTATAACAACCATGAGGCTTATGTCTTGATGAAGCAACTTAAATGTATTCCTCCCTACTCATTACCCCCTCCTAAAAATTTATACAACTTTTTCAATATTTAATAAATTTAATTAATTATTATTAACTATGTGAGTTTGAGTTTGAAATACAATATAAATAAATGTATTTAGTCTATATACAGTTGGACTCCATTATCTCAATGTGTGAATATCGCAAAGAGATTTGGAAGTCAAAAACATTAATTTTTACCCTAGTATCTTGAATCCTTAGATATCTCAATTTTTTTTTTTTGCTCCCCACTGAATTTAAGTTCTGATTATACACATTAAAATAGACTCCAAGCACTTCTTTCTGACACACTGGAATTCTAACTGGCATGAACCCTGATATTCTTATTTCAGCTGATGATGAATTCATGAAGGCTGCCCAGATTTTGATCACTTGGTTGGAGAGAGGTGATCTGACAAAAAGAAACGTCAACAATTTCTACAGCATGGTACAGTGTACTAACTCCCAGGTCCGGCGACTTCTACAAGAGAAACAGAATCAAGAGGAGGCACTACAGAAAATGAAGGAAAATTTCCGAAGTATTTTTGAAGGAATTTTGCATCAATGTAAGCATCCACTTTATTTACAGGCATAAACATCAGGTTTGTTTGACAGAGATTTTCTTCTTATGGATGACGGTAAAAGACGAAAAGTTCAATATGAAATTATTTCTTAATTTCATTGTTATTGAGGAAGATGAATGTCCTTTGGTATGTATAGACAACAAGGAAACTCGATAAAATTGGACAACTAGAAGACACTATTATTAATTAAAAAAAGAGTTAATAGTTATTTTTTCCAGATCCATAAAGAGATATTAAAACATTAACAAAAATCTTTAAATTCTTCTGTATTTGCAGATTTTAATGTTCTTTTAATTAAACAATTGCAGAACATATTGAATTAAGTAATAAAATACAATATTCAAATATTTATTCCATGAGCAGAAACTGTGTGAAGCAAGACTCTTTTTTTTCACTGACGTTAAACTTTACATACCGGTACATGTATATGCACTGGACAAATTGGCAAGTTGCACAAAATTCTGTTCATGAAAATCAGTCTTAATTGAACATATCTCTTAATTAAAAAAAAATCATGAAAGTACAGAATGTAATGTTTTAAAAGAAAATATAAAATCTGCAATTTGATGATCATCTTATGGTAAGAAACAGTATGGTTAGTATTTCATATTTGCCACCTGGATAAGAAAACTTGTAGCATTAATTTTCAATACTATAGAACACCAATTTTCATGATACCTCAATTTTGCAAGATAGCTATTTGGTACATGTATTTATATTTTAGAACCCCCCCCTCCCCCAATTCAAGTTTTTTAATAATGAAAAAAAAGTACTGGTATGCAAGAATTAAATTTTCACAAGTAAATTTATTTGCATTTTCTCACAAAAAATTATTTATAGTACTATTGCAATTCTTATACAGGACTTTATTCTTTTTAAAATATGTTCCATTTTGTATTTAGTTGTATTTGTGGCATTTATGATCTGCTTAATGTACTGTGTTTGAAGAAATGGAACTTGTCTGAAATGAACCAGACCGAGTATACAGTTTTGTAATTTTAGAAATCTATTGCCATCTGAATGTTACCTGAGTAAGAACACATTTCATTTTGATGAAGCAGAAAAATTCATCATGTGTCAATTCTGCCATTTTGTAAAATTCTTTGACTATTTTCACACAAGTTCCATTTTAGAGCAATATTCTATCATTGGATTCCATGTATTTGGTGAGAGCGAGTCTGTCAGACAAAAAGTAAACTGGTAGCCCGGACACCAGTTTAATCACCACAAGCACCTGTTGTGTAAAAATGATTCATGTAATTTATGTTGTGTAAGTAACTTGACTGTTTTATTCCTGTTCCAAGTCGATCAGATCGAGAAAGTCTTTAGCTGCTCACGTAAACAACGGAACTGGGATCATTTTAGTAAGGCCCAACGCAAGAACCTAGAACTATGGTTCAAGCAGGCACAGGTAGGTCCTAGTTCAAAGGTAGGATTTCTTTTTGCTTTGGAAAAGTCCTTGTGAGAATCTGTCATGTTTCATTAAGGTTTATGGCATATCTTGAAGAATTTTTCTCAATATTAAAGAGCAGGAAGGAAGGGAATTATTCTGTAAATGTAAACCCTTGCTAGAAAGCCTTTGGCTCTTCTTTTAAGCTGCTTCTTACAGGGACATTTTCATATTTTTGTAATTGTTCAAATAGTTCTTGAACAAAAGAAGGGAAAAAAGGAAGCAGTTTTCCCTCTACAACGGTCATAACATGAAATTTGTTAATACAAGGTTTTCTACACAAAAAGGAGATATACAGAAAAGAGACCACATTTGGATGCTGGTTAGAATCTGTGTCAGAAATCATAGCAGAGTGTATGTTAGTCCTGTATTATCATTAATAGTTTATTTTATGAGACTCATTACCTTTGGAAAAGTTATTTTGGAAAGAAATATTTTGAAATTGTAAATGATGCATGGTAAACATTATTTTATTTTTATTCTGACAAATGCATCCAACAGACTACATTACCCTACACTCATACATACAAATGCAAATCAAAGAAATGAATTTATAACCAAGGTAATGAGTTTCCCCTCTAAACCATGAGAGATTGAGAAGGTAAGTTAATATTATGGCATGAAAGGCTGTGAGGGCTTGAAGTTGATTTATAATCCAGTCTTAGACTGAATCAATGGAGAAATACAAGGAAAACCTGAAAGCTTTAGGAACGGTTTACTGAATAACAAATCACTGAAATCAGAAGCAGGACTCTTTAAATGCCAGCAAACCCAGGAAGAATGTACTGAGATATTTGTACATTGTCCTAAATGGGAGGACTGTATACATGTTTGAAATTGTTATTTTCATAAAATGTATTGTTTGCATTTTAGAATTACTATTATTTATATATTTCTTTAATCACTACACTCTATTTAGATAGATATGTAAGCATCAGTTGTACTTTCCTAGGAAATCAAACAGAATCAGTTGGAGGAGTTTCTCAGTACACGGATGGACGACGACATGGAAATGTCAGACGAGGAACCTGAACCTAAAAAGAAGAAGCCTGACGAGGCCTTCAACCCCCAACAGCTCCAGGAATTCTGTAAGATCCTCCTCAGCGATTTTTAGATTTGATCTACTTCTGCTTTTCCTATTGTAATCATGAAAATTACTGCATTTTTAAGTGAGGGTTGCATATAATATTTGCATTTAAGTTTGTAGGGTCTTACAGGGAATCAAATTTTAAAAGTTTAAAGAATTTTTTTTTTAATTTAAATATTCTGAAGGATTTATCCTATCCATATGTTTCCTATTCAAGAAATATTTTTGAATTTGTATAAACTATAAGTTTGATACACTTAATACCCATTCACCATATTTTTTCCTTCAATTTTTATCAAGATTGATATAACAAATATCATGCGAGAGTATATCTAATATAACGATATTGTTGTTTATATCATAGTATCTCATGCAAAGTAGATCCTAGTCATTCTGAATTTTTCAATACAGATGCTCTATATTTTCAGTGGCAAGGGGAACAATGCGAGAAGAGAACGATTCCTTGAAATGTCAGATAGAGGCCTACAAGAATGAACTGGAAATGCTGAAGGCAGAGAAAGTCACTGGTATCACAGAGAAAGACAGTCAGCTGAAGATACTACAGCAGGCCATGCAGGGCATGCAACAGGTAAATAAAACAGCATGTCTAACATAGCAGGGCATGCAACAGGTAAATAAAACAGCATGTCTAACATAGCAGGGCATGCAACAGGTAAATAAAACAGCATGTCTAACATAGCAGGGCATGCAACAGGTAAATAAAACAGCATGTCTAAAAAGGCATAGCAGGGCATGCAACAGGTAAATAAAACAGCATGTCTAACATAGCAGGGCATGCAACAGGTAAATAAAACAGCATGTCTAACATAGCAGGGCATGCAACAGGTAGGGAAACATGTATGTCTAACAAAACACGTCATGCAAGGTAAGCAACAGGTAAAAAAAATCAGTATATGTAACAAAAAAGGCCATGTAGGGCATACAACAGAAAAAAACCCAGTGTGTCTAATTTATTCTGTGTTTGAACAAAATAACAGTATATTAAAGACAAATTTTTAAATAGTTTTAGATTGTGATGTCACAAAAAAAAAATGCTGAAGCTGCATAGATTGTACAGCTCTAAAAATCATAATGTTTAATTTTTATATGATTTTACACCTTAAAGAATTAATGAAGAATATTTTGAACATTACAGCAACTGATACAATCAAAAATGGAGTGTAAACAGCTGGAAAATGAACTACGTGTGGTGAAGCATAAGTATTGTACTAGTACCAGATGTGAGAATAAGGGAGATAAATCAGAGGAAGTGTTACCTTCAGTTTAATGACAAAAAATGGTAGTTATAAAGGTAGTTATAGATAAACTATAGTCAACTATAGTCAACTGTAGTAAGTAATTGTTATTTTTCAATTGATATTGATTTATGTAGACCCTTGGTGCAGGTTTTACTTCTGTTAAATGCCTAATGCCCTAAAAGAATTTTATATATCTCTCTCTTCAGAGTGAAGATGGAAGTACATCAGACGATAAACAAAGCTCAAGTAAAAGTGAAAGTAAAGAAACATCAGTTCCCACAGTAAGCAGTACAGGACTCACACTAACAGAGAAAGAGACCAAACTCATAGGTAAGTACTGACTGGTAAAGTGAAAGTAGACATATGTTAGTACATTTAAGGAATGAGGCTTATTTTAACCCATGTTATATGATATATCTTGGGGCTGTTTATGCTTTAAAAACTGCAAAGCAGTACTTACAAAATGATTAATAAATTATCTATAATGAAGGACTTGTTAAATTGAACTTTTTCCTGTCATTTTGTAGGATTAGTATCCTGTTTCCTCCATGTTCATCCTAACGGCGCCAGTGTGGACTACATCTGGTCCTACCTGTCCCAGTTAAACGTCAGCACACGGACCAGCGAGCTAGAGGAACTCCTGTTACGCCTCCCCATGTTGTTCAAGCTGAACATGAGTGGAGTGGGGGCGGGGATAGAGAAAAAGTGGCAGTTTATTGCGTATTCATCAAACACATCATTGCTCCCATTCAGCTTCTCAACTTGATTTTTTAGGTCACCTGAGTCACTCAGGTGACCTATTGCTATCTGTTTTTGTCCGTCGTCGTCCGTCGTTCGTCGTACGTCGTTCGTCGTTCGTCGTCAATCGGTCGTAAACTTTTGAACATTTTCAGCTTCTTCTCTGCAACCACTGAACCAATTGCCACCAAATTTGGCACAAAGCATCTATGGGTGAAGGGGAACAAAAATTGTGAATTTCATGATCCCTACCCCCCTGGGGCCTGGGGGGTGGGGCCAACATCACTAAAATTAATGCAATCTTTAAAAATCTTCTTCTTTACTCCTGGACATCAAGCAGTCAAACTGTTTGCATGATTGTAATAAGCATTGAGTCCTCTACCAAAATTGTGAAATTCATGGCCCTGGGGTCAGGGGTTCTTGTGCTAGGGCGGGGCGAAATAAGTATATAGTGAAAATGCATTATTTCTTTGAAAATCTTCTTCTCTGCTCCTGAATATTAAATAAACTAAGTAAGTACATAGTTATGATGAGCAAGAGTGCCTCTACCAAAATTGTGAATTTTATGGCCCCAGGGTCAGGGGTTCTGGTGTTAGGGCAGGGCTCTATTGATAAGACACTCACTGTCAGAGAAAATACATGATTTCTTTGAAAATCTTATTCTCTGCTCCTGGGTATTAGATAAACTAGCTAAGTACATAGTTATGATGAGCAAGAGTGCCTCTACCAAAATTGTGAATTTTATGGCCCCAGGGTCAGGGATTGTGGTGTCTGGGCGGGGCTCTATTTATTATATAGTGAAAATACATGAATTCTTTGAAAATCTTCTTCTCTGCTCCTAGATTTTATATAATTTAACTAAGTACATAGTTATGATGAGCAAGAGTGCCTCTACCAAAATTGTGAATTTTATGGCCCCAGGGTCAGGGGTTCTGGTTTTAGGGCGGGGCTCTACTGATTATATAGAGAAAATACATGAATTCTTTGAAAATCTTCTTCTCTGCTCCTAAGTTTTAAATAAACTAACTAAGTACATAGTTATGATGAGCAAGAGTGCCTCTACCAAAATTGTGAATTTTATGGCCCCAGGGTCAAGGATTCTGGTGTTAGGGCGGGGTTATATTGATTATACATGTATAGTGAAAAAACCTTAAATCTTTGAATATTTTCTTCTTTGCTCCTAGGTTTAAAGCAGATGAACTACCTATATAGTTATGAGTAATCCCTAATCTTCAAGAATTGTAAATTTCAAGGCCCAAGGGTCAGTTGTACCATAGAGGGGGGGGGCTGTACTTATATACTGAAAATGAATGAATTGTTTGAAATGTGCTCCTTGGTATTAATCAAATATTTTTGAAAAGCAAGGATGCCTTTCCAAAAATAGTGCTTAAAACATGGATCAAATTCAATCACTGGAAAGTTGTTGAATAATGCTCAGGTGACCTATAAGGCCCATGGGCCTCTTGTTAAAACAGACGATTGTGAAATAACAATGTTAAGCTTTACAACTGACTTGCCAGTATTGCGCAATATTAGTGATACATGTACAGCGTAGTCATTTTGACTACTTTCTGTACAGACATAGTTTTAGAATTTTTTTCTTATATATCAACACGTCACATTGGTTAATTGTTATGTTTTTTAAGACTTGGAGAAATAGTCATTTTGTTGCTTAATGATGTACTAATAATTGTTCTTGAGATTCATCATTTAATAAATGGTGGAAAATCTTTTCTCCATTAATTTAGAATTTTTAATAAGTGTTAATTTAGCTTAGCCACCTCAGGAAAATATAATTTCAACACATATAGTGCCCAGTGACTAACTTCGAGATATATCAGAGCTGCCAACCCTTACGATTTTGGCGTAAGTCTTACGAAATGAGCATCCAAAATACGCCTTACGATATCTCTCTATATTCTTCCGATTTTGGTTTTTCTCAATCAAAGTTTATAATTTTGGATTTTCATAACTGGTCGTCTACAGTTTCTACTATTATAATCAAATATTCATAATCCATACATCGCTTGCTTGTATCGTCGTTTCGGTTTTAGATGGCCGATCGCATTTATGTCAATGTTTTTAAGTAAACAAAATGAAAAAGTTCCTCAAATTGCTCTGATTGCATGTCCATTTACAAAACATCTTCAGCGGCAGGGGGCTTAGGCAGTCCCCGAACCATGCCTTACTATTTTTCATTTCCGAATGTTGGCAGCTCTGATATATATATCCATGAGTGATAGTCATGACACACATCTAATTCATCTGCAACTACAAATGGTTTCATTTCATTGCAGGCAAAGGTTTAAGAGAAAAAATGCAGGATTAAAATTTTATGACTTTGCACTTTGAGATATCTTCATCAGATCATCACAACCATTAAGTCATCTTCGCTAGCCAAGGGTTTCTGATACGCTACTCTCCTCATGAACCCTTGGCGTTGATAGAAGTTTTTTTTTTTTCTCGAGTTCTGATTGGGATTCGGCACATCTGCTCGACCAGTCAGCAATTGTTTTTTGTAAATGACGATATTTGCGTTTGGGACACTTCTTGACTCTTTAATCTCAGGAATGAAAAACGCAAGTAAACAACGATCCGTAAGATAACATGCAATTCTATGAATAGCTATGGTGTCATCCAATATCTTCTAAATATGTGATTAAGAATCTATATTGAAGTTCAGATTTGTACCATAAATAATAAATAAACATAACTCAATTATTGCTTCTTAATTATTCTTGGAAAAAAAACTTTGATTTAATTTTTTTTTCAATTTCTGTCGATGACGCAATCTGTGCATACCTGATAGATTCGAGATCATGTGACGAAAACAATCCCGTCTTTTGACTTCACCGTATGCCAAGGGTTCATGAGGAGAGTAGCGTATCAGAAACCCTTGGCTAGCGAAGATGCCATTAAGTTTGAATCAACTCTACTCAATGGTACCAAAGTCATGGCCTTGGCATGATATTTTTCAGTAACCTCACCCTTGAGAAGAGAATAAAACACAGCATAGCATACTTTTACATCATGATCAATACATATAGAATGTTTAGTCCATTCTAATTGAGGGTTCAGAAGTTATAACACAGACACAGTTTTGAGACAGATGAATAGACAAACATGCCATACCAGTATGTTTCTGTTCTTTTAGGGATAAATGAATATTAACAATAAAAATGTAGTTTTATTTTTTATTGAAAAGCTCAAGGAATGTCACATTATACAAAAGATAGAAAATATGGAAAGCATGAATAAATAATTATATTATGGCAAGCATGAATAAAAACATATATAATAACATATACATGTATATTTCTTAAATAAACCTAAAAATTAATTTAATTTCTACCCAAGAAAAGTTTAATAAAACATCTTTTTTGAACAATCTCAATATACCACAGAGCAATGGCATGTTTTTATTATATCAGATTCTATGAAAATGTGTTGCAGAATAAACATACTTAGTACATCAAGAAAAAATTAAGATCAAATGAATATAGAGATTACCTTTACAATGAGAAGTCAAGAAAAAAACAATTTTTAAAAAAAGATACTGAAAATGTATTTACAATATTATGCTATGTTGCAACCACTATTGAAATAACGACCACTATTGAAATAATTATTTCAATAGTGGTTGAGAGTGCATTTCAATAACAAACACAGTATGCAACCACTATTGAAATACCACCACTACTGAAATAATGTCAACCAAAAAGTAAGTCACTGTGACCTACTTTTGACATTTTACGGCTATATTTAATTATCTTGTACGTACTTATTGGCTTAGAATCATCAAACTTTGTCAGTTGATGCATCTTGGGTATTCGGAAAATGTCAACCAAAAAGTAGGTCATGGTGACCTACTTTAGACATTTTATGGCTATATCTAAGTATCTTAGGTACTTATTGGCTCAGAATCATCAAACTTTCTTAGTGATGCAACCTTGGGTTTACCGAGAACGTCGACCAAAAAGTAGGTCACGGTGACCTAATTTAGAATTTTATGTCTATATTTAAATATCCAGGGCACGTATTGGCCTAGAATTGTTAAACTTTGGCAGTTGAGACATCTTGGGTTTTTCATAGAATGTTGACCATAAAGTAGGTCACAGTGACCTACTTTTGAATATCTTGGGTACTTATTGGCTTAGAATGATAAATCTTAGTCAACTAATGCATCTTGAGTCCTCAGAAAATTTATTTAAAATCAAAAAGTAGGTCACTGTGACCTACTTATGGTATTTCATAGCCGTACTGAAATGTCTTTAGCCCTAACTGGCTAAGAATCATCAAACTTTGTCAGTTCATGCATCTTGGGATACTAAGAGTTAGAGGCTTCAAACAGAAGTGATCGATAGATTGTACAATTTATCAGAAGAGCGATTCGAGGCCCTTGGGCCTCTTGTTTATTGATTCCACACTATTTTTATCATCTCTTGATTATCTCCCCTTGGAAGGGGCTTTGCCCTTCATTTTAAGAATTTAAACTCAATTTCACTAAAGGATGCTTTGTACCAAGTTTGGTTAAAATTGGTTCTTGAGAAAAAGTTGAAAATGTGAAAAGTTTGTATTGACAGATGACAACGTGTGATCAGAAAAGCTCACTTGAGCTTTCAGCTTAGGAGAGCTAAAAAATCAATAACTTATTGACACACACTTTTCAACATTTCTCTCTCTCTCTAGATCTCTCCCTACGAGGGTTGATCCAAAATTTCATGGAATTTCTTCATTTTTGTCTCGCCTGCGACGAATGTCGCGAAGCGAGACATAGCGACCATAGATTCCGTCGTCGTCGTCGTCGTCGGCGGCGTCCAACTTTTGGTTAACCCAAATGTCAAAGTTTTATAAACTGCAATAACTTTCTCAAATTTTATTCAGTCTTCTTGAAATTTGGACACAATATTCAGTATGGATAAAAATTTATATCCCAAGTATGATTTTGAAAAAAAAAATTCAAATTTTTCCGTATTTTTTCCTTAAGTTGGACTTAGTTTTTTCATGATAATTTATGGTGAAGACCTATATTCCAGCAACTATAAGTTATAGGGATATGATAATTAGTCAGTGGATACATCATGGGTAACCACAAACGTCAGTACCAGAATTAGGTCATCTTGACCTACATTTTTCTGCATGAGTGACTTTGGTTAAATTTTTGGTGGAGGTCCATATCTCAGCATCTATAACTTATAATGGCATGATGATTTGTCATTGTACAGGTTATAAGTAACCAACAACATCAGTACCAGAATTAGGTCATTTTGACCTACATTTTTCTGCATGAATGACTTTGGTTAAATTGATAATGGAGGTTCATATTTCAGCAACTATAACTTATAGTGGCATGATAGTTAGTCAGTGGATACATCATGGGTAACCACAAACGCCTGTACCAGAATTAGGTCATCTTGACCTACATTTTTCCGCATGAGTGACTTTGCATAAATTTATGGTGGAGGTCCATATCTCAGCAACTATAACTTATAGTGGCATGATAATTTGTCAGTGGATACATCATGGGTAACCACAAACGCCTGTACCAGAATTAGGTCATCTTGACCTACATTTTTCCGCATGAGTGACTTTGCATAAATTTATGGTGGAGGTCCATATCTCAGCAACTATAACTTATAGTGGCATGATAATTTGTCAGTCTACACATCATGGGTAACCAACAATATCAGTACCATAATTAGGTAATCTTCACCTACATTTTCTGCATGAATGACTTGATACATATACAGTGGATTTGATTTCAAAATGCAAGTTCAAATTATTGCGACTCATAACACGTTGCAATATTCGCAATAATAAAAACATCACAATAATTTGTGAATTTACAGGGTATATGTATATATATATAAATGCCAATATAATCGCCAAGGGATTAGATATTAAGTCAGCTGTTCCATTTCTTTATTATTGTATTTTTGAGTTATTCCTTCTGAAATGTCAATAAATGCTTCAGTTTATCAGACAATCATTTCTTACTAACCACAGCGACAGCAGGCGAGACACAGGGTTGCGGGCAACCCTTACGTACTTTTTTTATTTGTATATTCTTAGATGAAATTGGTTGAAAATTACAAATGAGAATATAGACACTTGTTGAATATTTCAAATAAAAAAAAAAACATTTTAAATATTATGATAGTAACTCTATGGCAGCTACCACAGAAATGGTTGTTTGGAAATGCGGGGGAGACACTAACGCGTTTATGATCATTTTAATTCTTAATACGTGAAATGAGAATAAATCTGCCCTATATGGTATATAAAATGAAAATTATGTCATTATTACAATTGCTTGATTTTTTTATAAACCTTCATGTGAGAGTTTTACTGATTTTACTGGATATTTACTTTATTAGTTGGTGATTTATTGTTCATATTTAACTTGTTAGACGTCAAATTTCGGTCAAGTCATACGTTTTGTGAAAATCCTGGGGTTACTCAATGTTAAACGCGTAGCATAGGGGCTTGTCTTCCGGATTGTTAAAAGTAAAATAAATTTTTTTAAAAATATATCTACATTAAATACACTCTAAAAGTTGCTTATACATGTATAAAGATTCTGAAACGATCAGGTAAAAAAAAACCCAAGTTTTAAAAAAATTACTACACCTATATACGTTTATGTATATACTGTAGATTCCTATTTATACGCGAGGAATTAATTTCCGCGTAATTTCGCGAGAATCATCAGTCGCGAAATAATATTACTCGCTGTTATTTTTATGATGTTGAAATTCATGAATGTAAATTCTGTTGATCAACCGTTTACTCGCGAAATATTATTCTCGCGATTTGACGTTAAAGAGCCAGTTCGCAATAAAAAGTACTCGCGAAATATAAGGAATCTACAGTAGGTGTAGTAATTTTTTTAAAACATTGGAACATCATATGGAAAGATGGGGAGTATTTTAAAATATGAGAGAAGAATGAAAATAAGTTTGTGCGAGAGGATACCCAGGCTTTTCTTAAAAAAAAAATGGAGAATAGGGCTGCATTTTGTAGAATTGTGTATTTGAACATAGACCTAAAACGAAGTCGTTTTAGGTCTATGATTTGAATTGCTTCTATAATGTGACGTGACATATCAAACTTGACACAACGTCTAAGTCTCCCACGGGTTTCACAACAATCCGTTTTCAGAAAGCTCAAATGACCTTATTGTTTACTGGAAAGTTTTGAAATTTTCCAATATTGTTACATTATGGCTCTATATTATATATATGCCTGTTGTTTTCTTTCATCAAATCATGATAAAATTTTAGAAAGAAATTCCACGAACTTTTGGATCAACCCTCGTATATATATATAAGCAGGAGTTAATTTCATATGAAATTGAGAACTACTGCCATAATATATTAAGAAAAATGAATGTTTAGCAATATAGATTTTAAATCATTCAAATTCTCAAAATTTTGTCCCATAAAAAAAATTATAAAAATTGTAAAGATTTACAAAGCTAATGAAAAAACAGTAGAATTTTGAACTTCATAAAAAAGTACTATTTATTAAATTTATTAATATTTTAGAAATTTCATATATGAATAATTTATAATCAAAATATGCCCATTATATATATCCTCGCCCATTTGATTTATTGGTTAGAGCATATCTGCTCTTTAGTCGCGGAATAAGGAGCTGATTTTTACGTCACAGTTTCAAATCCACTATGGGAGGAGGAGACTTGTCCTTCAGATGAGACCATATAAACTGAGTAGGTCTTGGCATTAATAAAGATCCCTCCCTGCTCAATGGCCCTGAGTGTTTAGTACAAAATTTGCAGCCCTCCACCGGCAAGTGGTGGCATCTCCATGTGAGTGAAAATTTCTCAAAAGACATCAGGTATCTCCCTGGAGTCAAGACCTTTCTTAGAATACCAACATTTCTGTTACATTGCCCTTGAGCTTGGAGTTGGACTTGCATAAACTTTGGAGAAAGTGCATGAAGAAACTAAAAACCTTTGCCAGTAGCTGCCATATGGGGACATCAGTGTTTTACAAAGTTCTGCAAAACACATCTTGTTTTGTTTATAATCAACTGTCCTTAATCTGCAACTTGGCTCTTACACAGTAAAATCCAACAAATTAAACTTCTACATGCATAGCTGCAGTTAAAAAGCAAATTTGTAAAATTTTTCCCCATATCGGGGCCATATTCTCTTCGCAGAAGTGGACCAAATGATCAATCATCCATCCTGAATGTAAGAGTGTCAATCAACATGGCAGGTTGATACAGTCCAAAGCTGGAATGTTTTGTTTTTTGGGTTTTTTTTTTTCAAGATATCACTGGCTAGGTGTCAAATTGTCAAATGCCTTGTTCATAAAATTTTGTCCAATAGGTGTCTTAGCCTTCATGTCATGGAATTCTTTAGCTAGTTCCATGTACTCCTGAACAGTGATCGCGGTCTCTCCACTTGCTTCCACTGCTGAAGATGTTTCTTGGAAGTCGCTGGCATTTTGTTGTTCAAGAAGATTATATTTAACATCTGACTCCTCATTCGTGGTCTCTTCATATTGGTCTTTTTCTTCCTTTCTTGTAGTTTTCCCATTGCCTGTTTTGTTCGTGTACCAATTTCTTAACAATGGAATTATTTTTCCCGAAATGAATGCAATATTGAAACCCAATGATAACCCAAAAATTACCCAAGCTGTTTGCAGCTCACTTTGTTTAGAATCAATGCTGCCTTGCAAAATGTCATTTTGTTTCTTAATTGATTCCAGTTTTTTGGTGTTGATTTTCTTCTGTTCATTTGGGGATGGCACACCTCCATATTTTTCGAAGCATTCAAATATCATATAGCTATCGACTGAAGAATAAGGTGACTTGCAGGGCGAGAGACTGTAATTTCTGCAATCTGCTAGATTATTTGATTGTACTATATTCCCACCAAAGTTAAATTCTAAGCAGTAGCCAAATATTGGAATTATCTTCCAGCAGACAATATATGTTTCGTTTGCTCTACTACTTACAGCATACTGTGGATAAGTACCTTTAGAGCAGTTTATATCTTTAGTATATTCGGTATACTCTCGTTCGTTTCTAGGTATAATGTCCGTTTTTGTCATAATTATTTTTCGCTGAGGGGCTGATGCAGTATCCATCATCATAAACAAAAGGAATGCTCCCAACCACTTCTTAATCATCTTTCTCTGGAAATACCACACTTCCTCAACACTTTCCTAAAAGTAAATCAAGATCATCTTGTATCAAAATGACTTCTGAAACTTTAGAAATCCTTGTTTTACTTTAAAATTAATCGTATGATAATTATTTTAATTTTGATTTTTGGCCACATCTCAAACCCTGGGACTTAAAAATTGAAAAAAAAAATTTCTCTCAATATGCTCAACCATAACAAGAGGCCCATGGGCCACATCGCTCACCTGAGCACTGCGGCTAGCATAAAAGCAGAAACTAGTTTATTATTGAAAAGTTTAAACCCAAAAGTAGTCCCAACCATTCCTTAAAGGGGAGGGGTATGATTTGCACAAACCTGAATCTACACTACCTGAGAATTCTTCCATATAAATACATGTATGACCAATCATGGCTTTGCTATTCTTGAGAAGAAGATTTTTAAAGAATTTTACTATATATTTCTATGTTAAACTTAGGTCAGCCAGTGTGGCCCCACCCAACCCCCGGGGGTCATGATTTGCACAAACTTGAATCTACACTACCTGAGGATGCTTCTATATAAATATGACCAATCATGGCTTTGTTATTCTTGAGAAGAAGATTTTTAAAGAATTATCCTATATATTTCTATGTAAAACTTTGGTCAGCCATTATGACCCCGCCCTACCCCCGGGGAACATGATTTGAACAAATTTGAATCTACACTACCTGAGGATGCTTCCATATAAATATGATCAATCATGGCTTTGTTATTCTTGAGAAGAAGATTTTTAAAGAATTTTCCTACATATTTTTATGTAAAACTTTGGTCGGCCATTGTGGCCCCTCCCTACCCCCGGGGGTCAGGATTTGAACAAATTTGAATCTACACTACCTGAGGATGCTTCCATATAAATAAGACTAATCATGGCTTTGTTATTCTTGAGAAGAAGATTTTTAAAGAATTTTACGATATATTTCTATGTTAAACTTTGGTCGGCCATTGTGGCCCTGCCCTACCCCCAGGGGTCATGATTTGAACAAACTTGAATTTACACTACCTGAGGATGCTTCCATATAAATTTGACCAATCATGGCTTTGTTATTCTTGAGAAGAAGATTTTTAAAGAATTATCCTATATATTTCTATGTAAAACTTTAGTCAGCCATTGTGGCCCCGCCCTACCCCCGGGGAACATGATTTGAACAAACTTGAATTTACACTACCTGAGGATGCTTCCATATAAATATGACCAATCATGGCTTTGTTATTCTTGAGAAGAAGATTTTTAAAGAATTATCCTATATATTTCTATGTAAAACTTTGGTCGGCCATTGTGGCCCCGCCCTACCCCCGGGGGTCATGATTTGAACAAATTTGAATCTACACTACCTGAGGATGCTTCCCTATAAGTTTCATCTTTCCTGGCCCAGTGGTTGTTGAGAAGATTTTTTAAAAATGTCATTAATTTTCCCTAATTCATAATTATCTCCTTTTGGAAGAGGGCTTGGCTCTTCATTTGAACAAACTTAAATTTCCTTCACCTAAGGATACTTTGTGGCAAGTTTGGTTGAAATTGGCCCAGTAGTTCTTGAGAAGAAGATGAAAATGTGAAAAGTTTACAGACAGACGGACAGACAGACGCCGGACAAAATGTGATCAGAAAAGCTCACTTGAGCTTTCAGCTCAGGTGACCTAAAAACTTGTTAGATCTTAAGGGAATGTCAAGTCAATGGTTGATTATTCAACTTATTTTCTTCACAAGAGGCCCACGGGCCACATCGCTCACCTGAGCAATGTATCTTGGAAAAAAGCATAAATCAGTTTATTTTTGAAAAGTTAAAACCCAAAAGTGGTCCCAACCAATCCTTAAAAGGGAGAACGTATGACTTGAACAAACTTGAATCTACACTAACTAAGGATGCTTGCATATTTCTTTGACTTCCTGTGGCTTTATTGCCCTTTACATTTGAACTTACATTGTGACCCCACCCTACCCCCAGGAACAAAATAGAATCTACATGATGAATAGGACTAATCATGGCTTTGCTATTCCTGAAAAGAAGATTTTTAAAGATTTTTTCTACATATTTCTATGTAAAACTTGGATTTTATGTTGTGGCCCCGCCCTACCCCCAGGGGTGATGATTTGAATAAATTTGAATGTCCACAATCTGAGGATGCTTCCATAAAAATATGATCATTCACGCCTTTGCTATTCCAGAGAAGAAGATTTTTAAAGAATTTTCCTATATATTTCTATGTGAAACTTTAATGGGCCATTGTGGCCCCGCCCTACCCCTAGGGTTATGATTTGAGCAAACTTGAATCTCCAATACCTGAGGATGCTTCCATAAAAATATGATCAATCATGCCTATGCTATTCCAGAGAAGAAGATTTTAAAGAATTTACCTATATATTTCAATGTAAAAAAAAATTTGATCGGCCATTGTGGCTCCGCCCTACCCCCGGGGGGGGGGGGGGGGGGGTCATGATTAGAACAACCTTGAATCTACACTACCTGAGGATGCTTCCCTATAAGTTTCATCTTTCCTGGCCCAGTGGTTCTTGAGAAGAAGATTTTTAAAGAATTTACCTATACATTTCTATGTAAAACTTTAATCAGCCAGTGTGGCCCCGCCCTACCCCCAGGGGTCATGATTTGAACAAACTTGAATCTACACTACCTGAGGATGCTTCCCTATAAGTTTCATCTTTCCTGGCAGCATGGTTCTTGAGAAGAAGATTTTTGAAGAATTTTCCTATATATTTCAATGTAAAACTTTGATCGGCCAGTGTGGCCCCGCCCTACCCCCGGGGGTCATGATTTGAACAAACTTGAATCTACACTACCTGAGGATGCTTCCATAAAAATATGATCAATCATGCCTATGCTATTCCAGAGAAGAAGATTTTAAAGAATTTACCTATATATTTCAATGTAAAAAAAAATTTGATCGGCCATTGTGGCTCCGCCCTACCCCCGGGGGGGGGGGGGTCATGATTAGAACAACCTTGAATCTACACTACCTGAGGATGCTTCCCTATAAGTTTCATCTTTCCTGGCCCAGTGGTTCTTGAGAAGAAGATTTTTAAAGAATTTACCTATACATTTCTATGTAAAACTTTAATCAGCCAGTGTGGCCCCGCCCTACCCCCAGGGGTCATGATTTGAACAAACTTGAATCTACACTACCTGAGGATGCTTCCCTATAAGTTTCATCTTTCCTAGCACAGTGGTTCTTGAGAAGAAGATTTTTAAAGAATTTACCTATATATTTCAATGTAAAACTTTGATCGGCCAGTGTGGCCCCGCCCTACCCCCAGGGGTCATGATTTGAACAAACTTGAATCTACACTACCTGAGGATGCTTCCCTATAAGTTTCATCTTTCCTAGCACAGTGGCTCTTGAGAAGAAGATTTTTAAAAGAATTTACCTATATATTTCTATGTAAAACTTTGATCAGCCAGTGTGGCCCTGCCCTACCCCCGGGGGTCATGATTTGAACAAATTTGAATCTACACTACCTGAGGATGCTTCCCTGTAAGTTTCATTTTTCCTGGCACAGTGGTTCTTGAGAAGAAGATTTTTAAAACATAGCATCAAATTTTCACTATTTCTGAATTATCTCCCCTTGAATAAGGGCGTGGCCCTTCATTTGAACAAACTTGAATCCCCTTCACCTAAGGATACTTTGTGGCAAGTTTGGTTGAAATCGGCCCAGTGGTTCTTGAGGAGAAGATGAAAATGTGAAAAGTTTACGACAACGATAACAACGACGATAATGTCGACAGACGACGGACAAATTTTGATCAGAAAAGCTCACTTGAGCCTTCAGCTCAGGTGAGCTAAAAAAAATTTATCATTTTAAAATTAGTTGAAATTGGTTCATAGGTTTCTAAGAAAGTGCTGAAAAATTCTCATTATTATTGTAGCTCCTTTTAAATACCGATTTATACTAATGGCATTATGAGTATCACGAATACATGTACACAAAATTTTGCACAACGAATGAAAATCAGGCAGCAATAATGCTCCCAAATGACTTATATGTAAGTGACCAGTAAAAATGTTGAGGAAAGTACAATTAATAAATTTGTACATGTAAATACATACCCTGCGAGTCTTGCAAGATCAAATGTTCCTTCTCCTGCTCAGTCAGCCAGCATCCACCTTTACGATGTCACAGTTTCCACACAACCAGCAACAGTCTCACCAGATGACACCGAAGATGTACCAAAGACCTGGTGAATATAAATTTTAAATAATTCTATTGTTTCTATATCTTTTATAGAAATTTGTTCTTAATAATGCTTTTTGAGTGATTCAAGAAGTCTACACTTGAGCCTTTTATACGAGAATTTATTAAGTAGTGTCAAATTGGATGATTTTTAGTAACCGGGTACTTGCTTACTTTTCAGATCAAGTACCTGGTTACTCAGATGGGTTTGTAATACTGTAATCATACTTTTTTCCACGGGGTCATAATTCCGCAGAATCTCAATTTCTGTTTAATCCGAGGGTAGAAAATTACGCAGATTTCTTAGACTGTAACTATATGCCATACATTTATATTAAGTACGCTAGGATGTATTTCCGCGGAAAGTTTGTGTTCGTGGACATAGCGTAAATTAATACAACGCGGAAAAAAGTACTTCTACAGTATATAGAGTACCTTTTAACAAATGCATCTTCAGAACAAGCCCCCGAGTCTGATATCTAAAGATGCAGGAGTTAAAAGGTACTCTATTTGTTTTGTATCATTGTTCTCAGGTACTGATCTATCACTTTCACAAATATTAAATTTAATATGATCAAAGAAAAAAGAGCATGTGATTCAACAAGAGGCTCATGGGCCACATCGCTCACCTGAACACATGGGCTTAATTATAGGTAAAAACAAATCAGCTCAGCTAGCATTGAAAAGTTTACAGAGTTGGGGGGGGGGCTTGAGTTTACTACTTGAGGATGCCAACATATCAATAATGCATACATATATAACTTAATAATTTGCCATTCTTGAAATGAAGATTTTTTTAAAAAAGATTCAACTCCCCATTTTTTCATGATTTGAAAAAATTTGAATTAATCTTCATAATATGCAGATCGATGCTTACATATCATTCTGACTAACCATATCTTTTCTGTTCAAGAAGAAGATTTAATTTTCTAAACAACCTGAGGATGCTTCCATTAGTTCCATCTAATTTAAATCATTTATCATGTGGATTTGCTGTTCTCCGGAAATTTTCCAAGATATTTATGAGGGTCATTTATAAAGTTCGTAGACTTTTGTCCTAACTTTTTTATTTAATAACGTCATATTATATCCAAATTTGGTACACATATTTTGATTAACAACAAATTTGAATAATCTGAGTAAAAAAATTGGAATATATCGGTTTCTTTTTTATGATGATCAACAAAATTTTTCTATCTTTTCAAAGATTAGCATAAGTAGCTTTTAACTGTTTTATTATACCGATACAAATAGAGGATTACGAAAAGCGGGGAATTAGCTTCAAGATTAACGCACGGGGAATTAGTGCATTAGCATATTAGACCGATACAAAAGTAAAATCTAGAGTTATTAGACCGATACAAAAGTAAAATCTAGAGGATTATGGATAACCGGGGAATTAGATTCCGAAGCAGGGATTAGCTCATTTAACTAACGCACGGGGAATTAGTCCATTCACTGAGATTTCTAGGGAATTATTAACATTTTACTGCCTTACTTTTATATAGGAAAAAATCAGCAGAAGTACAATAATCTTTACTAAACGAACCTCGCTGACCGAAAAATTCGGTCCTTCGATCGATCAGTGCTGCAGACAAGAGTAAGATGAGATTTAATCATACGGCATCGAGAGTATTCTTCAAACAGATGTGAATATTTCCCTTATTTATTTATAGCTTGGTTTCATGGAGGTGACATCTTTTGAAGATGCATAGGAATTTCAACTCATGTGCAGCAGTAATACAAGACTTTAACTGTAATTTTCTCTGTTGACAAATGATACAAAAAGTATGGATTCTCATAAGGGCATTTTTACTAAAACCGTTTTAAAAGAGTATCAATTGAAATTTAATACAGTTAATTCTTGATAAACCGCCACCTTTTGTAATTTAGAAATCATGGCGGTATAACAAATTTGGCGATGGATTGAATTTCCCATCTTTTAGTAAACAAGAAGTAGAATTACCATTCTTAGAAATACAATTTAGCGTTTCTATTCTTAGTATTACATGTACGAGGGGCGTTCAATAAATAATGTCATTGGGGCTCTGAAAGAAACAAAAACGCTTTCCTATGACTTTATTTTAATGATTTAACTATAATATTCTCTTTCAATTAAAACGCATATCCGTAACATTTTCATTCAAATTTCTAATTGTTTTTCGAACACATTTTTGAGTATGACCCTTCGTATACTGGAATATGGCAGATCCCATGATTTGCTGTACTTGTTTTTTTCTTTCTGATAGATGTTTTACTACGTTTAGGAAATGAAACAAATCAAAGGTTGAAAGATCTGGCAAATTTTGTTGGTGTGACAAAACATTAACTTCCTGTTTATCCCCAAAACTCCTTTACTCTTCATGGCCTGTGGGTTTGGACGCCGTTATGAAGACATTTAATGTAGTGAATTACTCATTCTGTTTCCTTCCTCTCATAAACCTTTCATTTTTCTGGCACAAAATTGTTTTCCAGACTCCTCCAGAGATTAAACTTCCTCCCCAAATACGAATTTGAACAACAAGACCGCTAATATTTAAGAAAATAGCATATAAAACTGTTTTATGCTCATGCAATTCTTTGCTCTTCTTATAGGCCTTTGCAGTTTTGTCAAGTGAATCTTATTGTTAATTTGTTTTGAGGGCTTAAAGCAAAATGGATTCAAGTTTCATTATCTGTTAGAATTTCATACAAACATGGATAAGTACAATTTTTGATTTTTTGAAATAATTGTTTGGATATTCCTACACGCTGTCTTTTTCACTTATTTTTCAAAATGTAGGGTGACCTTTGAGTATTAAACTTTTTTTACTATAAAATGTTTCTTTAAAACAGTATGAACTATCCCCAGAATGATTTTTATCAATTTTGCTATGAGTCTTAAAGTCAATAAAACATAATTCAGTGATAATTTGTTGAAATTTCGCAAATTTACATAGGTTGTTGTAAATCATTGTTGCCAAGCACGGTACCCATTTTTGATGCCCATTATATAATTTTTGTTCATTGAAATCTACTTGTTCACCTGTCTATAAAACAGGCATTGGTTGCTGTAAATTTCACATATTTCAGTTGGAATATATTTTTGGGATAGTAACAAGTTTTACAGCTGCTTTAATGCAGCGTTTAACTTTACTCTAGTTTACTGATTCTTGACCATTCATTTTTAATGCAGTGTCTCGAATAGCCCTTGTTTTCCAGCTTCCCACGATGAAATAATGCGATGAAAAGTGGTCACACAAACTGTTATCAATTCATTAAAGATTCAATAATGAGAGAAAATCAAGCTTTATGTCATATGACTACTATGTTGTATGTCATCGAGCTAATGACATTATTTATTGAACGTCCCTCGTATATGTATAAAACATATTTCTGATTGAAAATACTTCTGAATCAAGTAATTTTTTTTCAATGTACAATTTCGCTAAAACAAAATGTGCATTTATGAAATAAAGACAAGTACATGTGTATGCATGTAAATCTGCATGTCTGATACTAGTATTGAAAAAAAAAACAAAGCTGGGTCGATTGTCGTGATATATTGCAGATAGTACGTAAAATGAATTCTTGTATAAATTCATTGTTTATGGCATCATTGTTAATGAAACGTTCACAATTTATACTGTAACGGTATAATTGTTTTTTCAGCAAACTTTGCATTGTTTAAAGCAGAAATCATCAAATTAATATTAGGGCTGGGACGATATATCGAGATATTGATATATCATGATATATGTGAGGATGATACACATATCGATACGCTTGAAAAAATATCGAAATATCGCCCAAAAAAATCTGACTTCTGTTTTTCTTTGTTTGTTTAACATTTGGGGTTTAATATATAAAATAAATAACTTAAATATAAATATAGATATGAAATAAATAATAATTAACACCACTTGAGTAAAATAGTTTCGTTTTACAACATATAAACAACTATTTTGAATGAATTATTCTCATTTGCAAAGAAATAATTTGTTTATTTCCATGCAAAAAAAGATTTTATAAGCAATTAAATGTATCATGATACATATCATATCGTGGCTCAAATATCGTGATAAGTATCGATATAGAAAAAGTTGTATCATCCCAGCCCTAATTTAATATCGTGATCGGCATACTTTAACAATGACTGCTTTCATGGCGAAGTTGTGACTAATTGATTTTTATTAAACAGAGAACAAAATTATTATAACAGTTCATGTTAAAATTATTGTTTATTCAATTTTTGTTTAATTACTTAATTTCATGTACCTTGTCTGCCTTTGCATGCTTTACAACAGGGATAGCATCAACCAATTAGCCACACTTTACTGACCACATGCACCTGTGGCGGTATATCAAAATAATTAATTGACACTTAAAAATGGACGTTTGTTGTGAAAACAGCTAGGGTGGCGGAGGGCGGTATGCGAATTCGGCGTTATAAAGAGAATTTTATATAGCAGGAAAAACGTTCTTGGGAAATCATGGCGGAACTGTGAAAATGGCGATGAATCGAATGGTGATAATTTGAGAATTGACTGTATTTCAAATAATTATTTTCATCTGTAAAAGAAGCAGTATATATAGTATTTTGAATTATGATTACAATGTTATTTAAAGAAATAGTATAAAATTGAATTAGTATGAATAATTTCATGAACGAGTTAGCAAGTGCTGAACGTATATAAAATCTCAAATTTTTAACACAGGTAAACTTCCGTAAGAAATCTCTATCAAGAAATATTTCATCACTCCTTTTCAGCTTTTTGCAGCAATAAATGTTGCAGTTTTGAGCCAATATTAATTAACATACACTTAATAGACAATAAATATTAAGAGGATGTGAAAATATTCTTGCACTTCTTTTATTCAAAGCAAACACGAGAATAGAAGCTAAATGAGTGAAAACTCCTGAGTACAGTAATGTTTTTATTACTGAAAAGAGTAAAAATTCCCTATAGATAGTTTTCGATGGGCCTAATTTTAGCAAAAGTTACCTCCCGTTGGCCGCCATAT